CACACACACACACACACACACTCACACACACACACACACACACACACACACACACACACACACACACTCACACACTCATCATTTAAGTTCAAGCATGTTACGTAGCGTCTCTCTGCCGTGAATTCAGAGAGACGCTTTCATTGGGAGTGTGTTTCCTGTGTGCCCGACTTTTCTTCCTCTACCTCAAACTGCCCCTCGTCTCTCTGAGCTCCATTCACTCGTTTCAGCAGGAAAAACACACCTCTGAATGAAAGCAGGACGCAAACGCAGTCAGAAATGTAAATGGAGTCAGGAGGAAGCGTTTGTCCGGGACTGAAGCACTCCATCTTTCATCCCACACACACACAAACAAGAACATAAAACAAATGCGGTGGAGGCCAGGGAAAGGGAGCAGCACACACACACACACTGAATGCAGTACTTTAACATGTGTTTATGTAAAGCTTCCATCATTTAGCTGTTCTTATCTGAAAACCCATCTAAAGACCCTTCACACACACACACACACACACACTCCGCCCAGCGCTGAATTAAACACCATCATAAAAACTCTTTAAAGTCACTGTAATGAGAACCATCTGTACGCAGGAACCCGGCCTAGACCAAACGAATCGCTCTCTCAGGGTCTCTCGTAAACACAATCGCCACTGTTTGCGTGCGTTCAGAGCTCAGGACGGGACGAGCGACCAGGTCTGCTCTACTAAAGGACAACATTCACCCCTGTTTACACTGCAAATCATGAAACCAGTGATGGTATTGTTAACGAAAATTAAACTATTACAAATTGTTTTCGTTAATTGAAATAAAGCTGAAATGAAATATAAATATTTGTAAAAAACGAAATAAAAATTAGAAATGTTGCCTTGGCTGCTAACTGAAATAAGTCAACATGAAATTAGTGATGTTTTTGTTAACTTAAGAATTAAAAATAGTTTTAGCTATTGAAATAAAGTCAAAATAAAATATAAATATTATATGAAAAACCTAAACAAAAATTAGAAATGTTGTCTTGGCTATTTACTGAGATAACATAGGTTTAAGTACTAAAATGACAAAAATGTATATATATATATATATATATATATATATATATACTACTAAAAATGACTAAAAAACATGCATTAATAAAAATGACAAAGGCAAGACATTTTAATTAGAAATGTTGGCTTGGCTATTGATTGAAATAAAGTAAGTTGAATATTAAAATGAAAACTGAAAAAATAAATTATTAATTAAATATAAATATACAAATAAACACAGTAACAAAAATGACAAAAGCGAAATATTAACAAAATACATTAATAAAAATTACAATGCGACATGTTGCCTTGGCAATTAACTGAAATAAATGGAATAAAATATTACAAAAATTTATAAAAAAAGCAAAAACATATAAAGGCACATAACAATTAATAAAACTTAAACTAAACTTAAAAAATAAATGCTAATTCAAAATAATATTAAATAGAACCCAAGTATTAATTTATTTGGTCATTTATTTATTTATAATAGAATAATAATACTACTACTTTTCTGTACTGTGTTTCTGATCAAACAGATTTGATTGATTTAAATTGGTAAAACAATGCCTACATAGCTAGTTAACTATTAGTTAACATCATCCAATAGACTGCATGGCCTTGCAGACATCAGTGGATCAGGAAAGTATGTTTAGATGCACAGGAAGTTACAACATTTTGATGAAAGATTACAAAGACAAATGCCTGTTCTTTGGAATAATGTGCATGATAAGATCAGGAACGTGCATTAAGGATTTCATGTTGACTTTAGCACTCGTTTTTGTGGTGATTGCTAGTTTTAGAAGATGATATAAGAAACACTGTCAGAACAAATCTTTCAGCTCTCTCTCTTCCAGCTCCTCAGCTCTGTTTAGGATTCAACAAATCAGCACAAACGGGTTCAAAGACGGTCTTGAGCTCTTACCTGAGAACCCCATAGGGGCCGAATACGCCGTTCCTCCAGTTTCAGTGGAAGCAGGCACAGAACCTGGAGAATCTGCGGAGAAACAGAGTGACAGCTGTCAATCACAGGGTTAATAGACCCGCCCAGTCCTTAGGACAAAAATCATTCTGGGTCGAATCGTTTGAATCCAGCGGACGTTCATTTCCCTGTCATGCAAAATAAATAAAGCGTTTGTGAGGTTGAAGTCTGCGCCAAGAAAGCTAGCGGAGAGCGGCTGCGCTCTAATAGCAATACACTGTTTAGCAGGATATACTCCATCCCGTCCAAAACAACGAGCCAGTCAGGAAATAGCAGCAGCCTTGAAAACTGTGTACAGCCAATCTTCTAATTGGCGTGCGAGCAGACAGGAAAAACACCCTGTTCATATTAACCCTTTAATAAACGGGGCTGGAATATTGTCTCCATATGTTCGGATCTAACGTCAGTATCCTGGAGTTACCGTAATCAAACAACTGCAGGAGAAAGCGCGTCAGTCATAATGAAAGCTGAACGTCTCCCAACGCAGATCACTTACCGTGGTAATTTATGGTAAAGATAATCATAGATCTGACTCAGAGCAGTTTAGCTGGCACACGGTTTATGCTAACAAAGATAAGGAGTCAGAAACTTTAGGTTTCAAAAGGAACAGGCTAATGCTAATGCTAACTTGGGAGTTAGCATTCTCACAAGGTAGCACTCGCAAGTTTAGCTTTAAACGTTTGCGCTAGGTTTTGCTAAAGGCACTGGATTTGGAGTTAATCAAGAATCATTTGCTAGTAAATAAATGATCCATTCAGTTCAATGTCTTTACATGAACTAGCGCGTCAGGCACAATGAAAACGACTCCAAACGCAGATGACTTAAGAACTAAATAGCTCCATGGTGATTTATGGTTAATATAGTCATAAATCTGATTCATAGCAGTTTAGCTAACACGTGGTTTATGCTAACAAAGGTAAGAAGCCAAAAACTTTAGGTTTCTAAAGGAACAGGCTAATGCTAACTTGAAGTACTTTTCCAAATCCCAAGCTTGGGATTGTGAAAACACCTCAAAAGTTAGCATTAGCCTGTCTTACTATCTTTAACAAGACTTCTCATCGAATTAGCTTTTGCTAAAGGCGCTGCCTGAAGTTGTGGTTAAACATGAATAATTTCCTAGTAAATAGTCTGTTTTGTTCAATGTCTTTACACAAACTAAACTTAGCTAACTGGTTCCCAAAACAGATCAAGAAATAAACAGTTACATAGTGATTTATGGTAAATACAATCATATATCTGATTTGGAGCAGTTTAGCTAATACTTGGTTTATGCTAACAAAGTTAAGACGTGAGAAACTTTAGGGTTAAATAGCTAAAACAACAGGCTAATGCTAATTTGTGAGGTGCTTTTCAAAATCCCAAGTGTCTAACCCTAACATGGGATTTTGCAAAGCACACCACAAGTTAGCATTAGCATTAGCCTGTATTACCATATTTAACATCAAATTAGCTTTTGTGAAGCATTTACTGACTAAATGTAGTATTAAACATGAATCATCTTAATGCCTTTTCATAAACTAGAGTCATGACAAGATTCTAATGTTGTAAATCCCAACATAAATATGAATAATGATCAAATAATAAAGTTCACAAATACACACATAAAGCATAGCAACATCTAATGTCTAATTTGTTTTACCAAACTGGGGTTCACAAACTGCAAGGGGTTCATGAGATAATGAAAAGCTAGTAATTAATTAAATTTAAAATAAATAAATAGGCTAAATGTATTTAAAATAAAAAAAAAATCAATATTAAACACTTACTAAAAAGTTTAAATATTTGATTGGTTTACTTTCATGTAATGTTACCATTCACCAATATCACAAAATTTTGGGAATCGCTTCTCTAGGGAGATTTCCATTGACATCTAAGACATATCATTGATTTACCATGAGTTTCTGGACATGTACCATGGTGACATCCCACCATGTGTAAGGATGATGAGTTTTTAAGTTTAGCATTAAAGGGTATTTCCGAAAATTAGCCAATTTGTGAGCATAAATTGTGAAATGGTGTCACTTTCGGAAGCAACCTTTGGAGTTGGACACATTCCCTGAGCTGTGGTCAGTCTAATAAGACACACGGTCAAACCTGAACCTGACCGCAAAGAGAGAGAGTGAGCGAGAAAAAGATGTGGGATCAAGCAGCAGCTTCAAACAAGTTGTGATTAATTTTCCAAGGGAGCAAAAACAGCTTTGAAACTGTCCGTCTTGGACCATTCAATCCATTACAAGCACAAGTTTCACCCAATAACTACACTGAAACCTTCAGAGATCCAAACGTCTTTAAGACCCAAATCAGACGAGTCTAGTGTGTAAACGGATCCTGTGACGTGGCTAAAATGACAACCACAATCTCCGCCGCGCACAAAAGCATTTGCAAGTAAACCGAACCCTTCTAGAATTTAGCAGAGCTAACGACATTTCACTAGCTCTTGGCGAAACTTTGCTTTCTTTGTCATTATAAGTGTGAATGTTTGCGTCTGAGAGCTTAAAGTGATTGATATGCAAACGCGCTTGCATCAACGGCCGTTTCGTCGCACCTAGACATCAACAACAACGTGTGAATGTGACAGTCGCCCTAAACCACTGTCAAACTGTCTCCCTCGTCCTGACGTTATCAACGAGACACACACTCGAACAAGAGACAAATAACTTCCTCTCAGTGTTCAGCATCACTCTCTCTTTCAGTCTGAGAAAATCGCCCGTCTTCTATTGTTCTCTGTCTCGCGTCCAAGAGCCAAACGCAGCTAATGGAAGTGTGTGTGTGTCCTCCTCACAGGAAATGTCCTCCCCAAACTGTCTTTCCTGTCCTCCACCACAGCGGCTTTTCTCGTTCACATTCTTGCTTTCTCTCAGTCGCTCCGAAACCCCAAACTGATTCATAAAAGAAGAATGACTCAAAGATCGAGAGCCAATGTCAGTCAGCGTAGTGTCGTTCCCACACACACACACACACACACACGTAACTATAAACATTATCGAGACGCACAAATTTGGGCTCACGGAAAGTATTTCGAAACAGGCACTCGTCGGAGCTGGGCTGGATTTCTCAATGCGTAAGTGATACCGCTTAAGTGAGCAGTTTTGGCCGGGATTGAGAAGGATCTTTACGGGGCGATCGGCAGGAAATCTCATCCGGGACGCTGCCAAACACAACACGCTTATCTGAAGCCAATATACAGGACATGCTCAAGAGCCAAACGGCATTATGGGTAGAGAGAAAGCAAATGCTCAGGGGAAAGACGCAAAGCGACACTCCCAAAACCTCAGATTAATTCGGCAGATAAATCAGCTCTCTCAGCTTTTCCTTTATGTGAGCCACGTTTCCGAACTCCTCGCAAACATTCAAACCACTTGCATCATTCGGACCAAACAACATCATAACGTCTATTACACAACGAATCATTACCATATTCATATACTGTGCTATTTATGCATTTACTCCAATTACTAGCACTTAGCATCTTAGAGAAGTGATAGTTAAGTATGGTAATCATTCAGTACTGTGGTAGAAACACTGAAGTATATATGAAATCATGCCACTAAATGATTACTATCTTCATATACCACATTATTATTACCATGGTACAATGTTTAAACAGCATAGCAAACTTACTAAGATTTACAAAACAGTATCATTACATATAGCAGGGTACTAAATGATTACCATATTCATGCACCATGGTATTTATGTGGTTAAAAACACCATGGTATTACCATTGTAGATGTCCAAAACCTTCATTGCATGCAATTTTAAACTTTTTAAAGTCTCCACATTTGCTTAAATTTAAGATGAAGCTTAAACACACCAGGTGGTTTAAGAAAATTGGTGGGATGGTATTTAAGTGGTCAGAATACCATGGTATTACTATAGTAAATGTCCAAAAACTTTCATTGCAAGCTTCTTTTTTGTTTTTTAACTCAAACTAACGATTTTAAAGATTGCACATTGGCTTAAATTTAAGATAAATCTTACACATACCAAGCGGTTTAAGAAAATTGGTGGAATGGTATTTAAATGGTGAGAATACCATGGTATTACCATAGTAAATGTCCAAAAACGTTAACTGCAAGCTATTTTGAAGTAATATTAAACTCTTTGAAGACTCCACATCTGTTTACATGTAAAATTAATTTTAGGGATGGTATTTAAATGGTACAAAAATACCATGGTATTACCATACTAAATGTGCAAAAAAACTTAATTGCAAGCAGTTTTCAATTCAAACTATTTTTTTTAAAGATTCCAAATCTGCTTAAATGTTCAGCTTTTAAGGTGGTTTAAGAAAGATCATTGAGATGGTATTTAAATACTGAGAATACCATGGTATTAACATAGTAAATGTGCAAAAAAAAAAAAAAAAAAAACTTCATTGCAAACGACTCCACATCTGCTTAAATTCATGATGAAACTTCAACTTACCAGGTGGTTTAAGAAAATCGGTGGGATATCTTGAGTACGGGGGTGGGGGGGATTCTGGAGGAGAAAGAGAGAGAGAGAGAGGCTGTGAGTGGAGATGTGGGCTGATGATAAGGCCTGGCATTTTCTGGGAAAAGTGTTTGTGTAGTGCTATCTTGATGACAATTTTAATGTTACTAAATATATATTATTTATTATCTTTTATATTCTTTTTTTCTCTATTCCATTCTATTCTAATATGATCTTCTGCATATAAAAGCCAAAATAATGTTTAGTTGAAACCTTTATTCTGTATTAGATTAGCCAACTAAACACACACACACACACACACACACACACACACACACATACATATATAAAAATGCTGTGTTATTATAGTACTGCATAAGCACTGTATGAAACATTTACAACAGCCATAATAATTTTAGTTCAAATCCCCTACATTCTTTTCTCCTCTATTCGGTTCTTTTTAATTCTATTCCATTCTAAGCTGTAATTAAACGCCACTGTTATGTGCATGTTTTTACAGTCCTATACGAGCACTCTACACTTGATCTTCAGTATAGAAGAGCCAGAATAAGCCTCTATATGCATTTCACCAACTATAATAGCGCGCACGTGAGAGAAATCCCGCAGATTTAGCACACTATTTCTGAAAGCAGCTCTAGATCTGTGAGAGGAGAGACGGTCGTACCGAGCTCGCACAGTCTGCTCATATGATGCGGGTTGCAGCACACGAGATCCGGGTTGATTTTCCCGTAAGATTCACAGCAAGAGAGTCGCTTTAATTCCGAGGAATGCCGGAGGTCCGGCCACCGGAACACCTTGTAGAGCAGCAGCGGCAGCGGGAAGGACTGCTGACCCAGCCTGGCGTCCGCTTTCCCCGGCAGGAGGAGGCAGGGGCTCCGCGCTCCGCCGCGGGACTCCACCGCCTGCAGGAGCACCTCCAGCTGCTTCTCCTTGATCTTCTTCAGGATAGAGTATGTCAGCGCCTTCAGTTCGGCCTCGGTGCCGGGGTTAGGCTTACTGGCGCCCGGTTTCCCGAGGCAGCAGCCCGCGGCGCCGCCGGTGTCCGCGTCTCCGTCGCCCTCCGCGGGCGCACGGCTCCTCCAGAGTCGCCTGACGAGCCCCGATCGTTTGGTCCTGAACATGCGGGACGACAAGAGGGTTCCCCGGCTACAAAACGGCCGCGCGTGGCTGAAAGAGTCAGTAACGGTAATGAAAATCATTTTTCTGAGGATGTGCAGCCGGGTTTTGTTCTCTCACAGAGTGCCGCTTCAGTCTCATGAACAGCTCGCCTGTCTGCTGTTCCTCTCAAACTCTGAACCGTTTCGCGGGGTTTTTAGGGAATGAAGGGGTCACGACCTCTGATCAATGGCGTGCGCCATGAGCAGGGTTACCTTTCTCTCAGCTGTTGCCAAGCAACAGGTGACACAGAGTGCCAGCAGTGACGTCTCCATTAAACAATATCTGATGCAGTAATGATTATGACCTTTTACTAAACACTCGTTATGTGTCTCTCTCTCGGTGTGTGTGTGTGTGTGTGTGTGTGTGTGTGTGTGTGTCTCCGCGTCTCTCATTGGCGCGTCGGAGGTCATGTGATTGTCTAGACACCCTGTCGCTTTAAAAAAAGAAAAAAAGAAAAAAGAACAGGCAGGAAAAAGTGATTGTGTTGCGCAAACATAAAGCAGAGTAACATGTACCATCAGACTGACACATCGGACGCGGAGTTTATAAAGTTACAGCGTAACAGATGGAAATAAAGTGTGTTTGTGCTGGTTGTGTTGTTGTGCTATGAAGTCTCATTTAAGGAAACACACACACACACACACACACACACACACACAAACTCAACAA